TTATTTTTAATGTTAATGATATAAATAAATTTAATTAATTAATTAATTAAAAATGATTATTTAATACAAATCTATAAAAAAAATTTATTATTTTTATAATCTTTTACCAATAAAATAATAAAAAATATCATCGTGACCTAATACCTACCTCATTTTTATAAAAAATTTTTGATGTTAAATTTGAAAGTATGAAATGTAAATCCCACCTTTAACATTAAAAAAATAAAAAAAAATAAATTTTTTCTTTTACGTGAGAGAGTGTCTTTTTCTAAAAGCAGAGGTGGCATCACTCACATGGGTGTTGGTGAGTAGGCCCCACTTACAGCCTGGCAATCTATCTAGATTTGAATTTTTATACTGGTCCCCACCAAGGAAATGTCAGCAACACCCATGTGGATTTGTGCCATGTGGACCTAACCCTGCTTCCCCGAATGAACCCCACTTGTTAACAACTCGGACGAAAGAATGAATGCAAGAAGGAAAATAAACAAAATTTAGATCATAGAAATCCACATTCTTTCATTTACTAAATTCTTTGTTTCTGTGGCCACTACTACAATAACAACAATAGAAAACCCTAATTTTAGAAAATTTCACAGCCCTTCTTCCTCTGACTTTCCTCCAAATTTGTTTACCATTCTAGGGTAAATTACAAATTATCCTTTTGCATTTACCACAGCTAGCTGTACAGAAAGATTTAATTGGACCCTAGAAAGCCTAACCCTAAAAATGGGACTCTAAACTCATGTTTCTGCGAGGGAACAGTGAGGAAGGAGGAAATTACAGTTCTTTCTTCAAAGGGGAGTTACAACTACACATTGACTGTGTGATGATGATGATGATTCCTTTTTTTTTTTTTTTTTTTTTTTTTGTTCTTTGGATTCTTTCTTTCTTTACCTGTGGTCCATAACTTCAACTACTGAAACAAGAGATTTATAAAATAGTACAACAAAGAAAGGAATGGCTGACCCACTTCCTTATGCCGCCTTCTTTATGTATGCAATTTGTATGGTAATAAGTATAGTAAGTATGGATATGGATGGTGATGATGGTGGATGGTGGATGATTGGATGGGATGGTGGTGGTGGGGATGGTGATCTCTTCTCTACAGAAATCTGATGTGAGTTCTTTGTTTGGTTATACTTTTCTATCTTCCTGTAATTGTAAACAAAAAATGACAAAAACTTGATTAGCAAAACAATCCAACTTGTATGCACATAAATCAAACCAAACAGGAACAAAAGATAAGAATCCTAAGCTTATTTACTTACCTAAGCAAAGGAAGAAGCTAAATTCCAACAGGGCAGGTTGGACCGCCGGTGCCGGCATACATACCAATGGGTCCATGTCCGGATGAGAACCTGAATCAACCACAAATCATTAGGTGAACATGGTTTTTGATACTTTGTGAGGATAATATAAGTCAATTTATACCTGGGTATTTGGCAATTAAAGGACTTGAAAGATGTCATGTCCAGTGAGTTATTAGCAGGAATTATGGTTGAAGACACCAAATTATTGTTGGAAGAAGATGAAACTGGGACAAGAACATCTTTCTCGGCATCACCGGGATTGGAGAAGGCTGCCGGTAAGAACTCTCCAGAGTCTTTCGTAGGTGATGCAAAAGGACTATCAGGGAGATTGTGCTCCAAACTGCACTCAAGATGCATAAATTAAACTTAGATGAACATGAACTGAAACTGAGGAATATATCAAATTTAAGCAAAAAGATGGTTTTTTTCGGTATACCTTTCTGGAAGACTATCTTCACAGTGAGACTGAGGACTCTCCTTGCCACTGCCACTCTCCTCACTATTGCCAGTGGTAGCCACATTTGTTGCTTGTTTCTCAGGTGGAGCAGTGACAGAAATTGCAGGGATGGGGCTAGAACAATTCTCTCCAAGAACATCAGTTCCACCATTCCATGGTGGAAGAACAAGAGACTGGTGGTTGAAAAGACTGGGTGAGGGAGTGGTAGGTGAAGGAATGGGACTGCCACTAGAAAGAGCCCTGTGATGATGATGTTTCTTGCCATCAAGAAGCTGCAGACCCATTAGTCTCCTCCCCTGCAGCTCAAGAGCATGCTGAAGATCAGCTTGTTCCTCCAGCTTCCTTCTCCATAACAAATCCTGGGTATTGTAAAACATCCTTGCCCCTGATGGTTCCATAAGAAAATATCAAAATCAGTCACCGAGATATCCTTTTCCTTTAAATAAGAAAAGAAGACTCGGTTTCTTAGTAATGCTTACCAAGCTGAAGATCAAATGGATCCCTGGAATCAAGGCCGGTAGGAGTACCACAAGGAGAGAATTCTCCTCTCTCCACTTGTTGCTGCTGCTTCCTGCACCAGATGGAAGAGTAGAATTAGGGAATCAAGAATAAGCTGATAAATATGGGAAAACTATACAATGGTTAAGAAGACTCGGGAGAAAGAGAGAGTGCCTGTACTTGTCTGGGACTTTTCCTTTCTCCTTGTAAGGCTTAACAAGCACTCGAGCATCACAAACAAAATGGGGGTTTCCTTTGGCCAGAATGATCTTCACCGTCTCAGGAAAAACAAAAGTAACAAATCCAAACATTCTCTTCTGCTGGTATGGAATCCTCACATCTTGAACAGGTCCATAAAGACTTCAAGAAAAAGAAAGGCATATTAACTCCCTTCCAAAGTCTGGAATAGAGAAGAAACTAAAACTAGTGAGTTGATTAAGAACAATAACCTGAAGTAATTTGAGACATCTTCCTCTCTGAAAGTGCTATCAGCGGGGAAAGTGAGGTAGATCTGTCTTGATGCTGGATTTACAGCATCGCCATTTAATAAAAAACCATTCCTTTCAAGCCTAGATCGGCCAAATTTGAGCATGTCATCTCCTATCATTAAAGCAGCAGCGGCAGCTCTGCTGCAACAATTTCATGAAGCGTTAACATAATTGCATCACTAAAAATACCCAAAAATGAGAAAAAAAAGAAAAAAAGAAAAAAAGGAAGGATTCATGGAGTCTGTACCTCTGAGTATCAGTTTGTTGCTGTTGAAGAAACAGGTTCATGGATTTTGGAGAGTATGGGAAAGAAGCAGAACCCATGAGCTGAGAAGCAGCAGCTAGCCTCTGCTGTTGAGCGGACTTGGATCTGAGTATATCATAACATTGATCCATCATGTCTATCTTGCTAGGTGAACCAACCACGGCAGCACCATCTGCGCCACCCATCATGGCGGCGGACTCTCCGAGCCCACCGTGGATAAACCTGCAGTTATTTCCATTCTTGCAGTACCCTCTTGCAAAATACAAGCACGGCCTCCAGCCTAACCCTGAAGCAGGGTCATCAGACCCCAAAACGTCGTTCACCGAGCAGCTCCGCCTGTGAACGGAGCCACCCCAGTTGGAAGGAAAAACTATGTCAGCACCACCACAACCACCACCAGGTGGGCTTGAAGCTAAGTCTGTTTGAGGGTAGAACAGGTCATGGTTTTTGGGGCTTGGTGTGTTTTCATTGAGGAAAGACAGTTGGTCTTGGAGCTGAAACTCATCAATCATATCAGATCCTCCTCCATTTCCATAGAAGGGTAAAGACGAGGGATTCAAAGAACTACCATTTGGACTAATCAACTCATCTGCGTTTGGAAGATCAGACAAACCACCCCAAGTAGAGCTACCAGAGGAAGCAGAGTTTTGTATTGTCAAGGAAGACTGAAGATTGACTCCGCTAAGCCTTGAATAAGATGAATTTTGCCTTGAAATAGGAACTGGGTTTGGATTATTTCCAAGAAAAGGAGATGGGGATGAAGGAGTAGTAGGTGTAGAAGGAGAATTGGTGGCTATACCTAGCTCTTTTCTTGCTTTAAGAATCACAGAATGGACAAGAGCTTCAGGGCCAAAAGCTAAACGAATCATCTCCTTTTCTCCATGATCGTGAATAAGCAGAAACCCCATGATTTTGGAAGCATTTTCTGGATCTAAGCTTTGGATTTTTGAAAACACAATTTTTGTTGCTTCGTAAGCATCCATGATGGAGTAAAAAGTTTCACACCCACCCAGAGCTCAAGTCAGACCCTTTGTTCCCTTTTATGAATTGCTTTTCTTCTATGATTTGGAGAGAGTAAAGGACTAAGGAGTGAGCTCTTTACAAGTAAAACTTCTTTCTCAACCACAACCCCTACTTACCAACTTGGGAAGAGTGAGTAGAAGTGCAGTATCTCTCCCTTTCCTCCTGCAGAAAAACCCTAAAAAAAGAAAGGAAAAGAAGGTATCAAAAAGAGTATTTCCCGTGTGGCGAATCAAAGGGAAGAAAAGGAGAAATATAGTCGTCCAATTCCTCTATAAAGCCAAAAAAAAAAAAAAAAGTTGCAGCATCTAAAGAGGGTAGACATCAGCAAATTACTCTGCTCTTTCTTCCTCGCATTCTTTCCTAATCCAACTCTAAAAAACCAGTTTCTCGGCATGAAAGTACGGACTTACCCTTGAGAGAGACATGGCTGATTATGACTCCACCTGCTCTCCCCCTTGAAATCCCAACTGGGTTTTTGGGTTTTTCACTGTTTCCGCTTTCAAGTTTCAAGCTTTTCTACAAAAGCCAAACCACCGCATTCTTTCAAAACTGTTTTTCAGAAGCCAACAGCAGCTGCAGAAGCAGAGGGGGAACCATCAATTTCTTCACTTCTGCTGCTGCTGTATATTGGATTCTGCTCCCTACCTATTGTGGACAGTCAAAGCTAAAGCTTCAACCTTCTAGGCTCTAGCCCTTTGCCTCTCTCTTATTTATAAAAAATGGCAAAAGAATTTGTAAGTGGCAGATAGTGTGAGAGTATGTGAGGAATTGGGTGAATTGAGTGGATCTAGATCTGTTCTTCAAATAGAGCACGTTCTCTTGCCTCCAACCCCTGACACCCACCACCATAATCTCACAATCGATCAATTTTTTTTTTTTTTCAATTTTGTTTAGAGAAAACTGTTTTATAAAATAAATTATATAATTTATATAATTTATTTTATAAAATTATTTAAATATTCTTAATTTTGTTTTTAAAAAATATTTAAATAATTTTATAAGATAAATTATATTTTTTTATTAAGTTCTCAATATTTTGATAATTATATCAAATTTAAATTAATTTAAAATCAAATTATATTAGATAAACTTTCTCAAATATTTATTTTTTTATTTATAATATTTAAATTCAAAATTTTATTTAAAACAAACTGAATTTTTTCTATTTAAATCAATATATCATTAATGAATAAATTATATAGGACGCTACTTGTGAAACAACTTTCAGATTTGTTTTCTACCAAAAAAAAAAAAACTTTCAGATTTGTTTATCCGTTTAAGGTTAAATAAAAATGATTATCACTGCAATTAAATCCCACTGCTTTCCTTCGAGAGTGAACAGTACGTACCAATGGCCAGCATGATGTAGATGGTAGGACCCCTTTAGGTAATATCAAAATAATCGGTGATTGGAGAGTGTGTCATGATAATCTATTAACCTCCAACTCGCTTTAAGTACAATGTATAGTTGATGTACAACGAGTAACTATTTTTTGTTTACAATTAAGATATTTTTGAGGCAGGAGAATTATTACAGTACTTTTGTTAATTAAAATGTTAAAAATAATATTTAAGACTCTAAAATCAAAAACAAA